GAGCTTTTCCTGGGGGCCTTGAAAACACATATTGCTGTTGTGGAGAGGGCACATGGCGGGCATGTGGAGATGACCTCTAAAAGTTGAGAGTGACCCCTTGCCAAAAGCCAGCAAGTAAACAAGGACCTTAGGCTACAGCCACAAGGAACTGAATGAATTCTGCCAACAACTGCTGAACTTGGAAGAGGACCCTCAGCCTCAAATAAGCTCACAGCCCCAAGTATCCACAGAATCCAGATACACTCTCCCCAAATTCCTGACCCACAGACCCTGAGATCATAACTTTGTATTAAGACCCTGAGTTTGTGGTAATTTGTTATGTAGCAGTAAAAACAAATATAGTTACTGAAGAAACATTAAGCAAATGCACACTCCCACAAAATGAGGGACAGGAAGGGGCCACAGAGGCCACGGTGGCCCACTCCCTCACATTGTAGAAGATAGCAAGGTCTATGGGGCTGACACGAATTGCCCAGGGATGGAGATTCTAGTTAGTGACACAAGGTCACTAGAGTCCAGGAAGAAGACTGAGGAGCAGAATAACACATAAAAAGATAATGTCAGAGGGAGGAAAAGAAGAATACGGTAGTGATTCTGGATTATTCTACATTCATGTCTAAGTTAAAAATACAAAGGTAAGTGGAGTAATAAAGCAGATCTGTTTCCAGCACTGTGTTCCTGATTCAAAGGGCACGTGCACCCCAATGTTTAGAGCAGTATTATTAACAATAGTCAAATTATGGAAAGAGCCCAGATGTCCATCGACTGATGAATGGATAAAGTTGTAGTATATATACACAACGGGATATTACTCAGCCATCAAAAAGAATGAAATCTTGCCATTTGTACCGATGTGGATGAAATAGAGGGTATTGTGCTAACTGAAAAAAGTCAGTCAAAGAAAGACAAGTATTATATGATTTCACTCATATGTAGGATTTAAGAAACAAAACAGATGGGACACCTGGGTTGCTCAGTCGTTTAAGCACCTGCCTTTGGCTCAGGTCATGATCCCAGCATCCTGGGATCGAGTCCCGCGTCAGGCTCCCTGCTCAGTGGGGAGCCTGCTTCTCCCACTGCCTGCCACTTCCCCTGCTTGTGCTCTCTCTCTAACAAATAAATACATAAAATCTTAAAAAAAAAGAAACAAAACGGATGAACATGGGGGAAGGGAAGGAAAAATAAAATAACAACAGAGAGAGAGGCAAACCATAAGAGCCTCTTAACTATAGAGAATGAACTGAGGGTTGCTGGAGGGGAGGTGGGCAGGGTGATGGACTAAATGGATGATGGGAATTAAGGGGGGCACTTGTTGGGATGAGCACTGGGTATGGCATGTGGGTGATGAATTACTGGATTCTGCTCCTGAAACCAGTGCTGTACTGTATGTTAACTAACTTGAATTTAAATTAAAAAAAAAAAATTTTTAAAGGAAAAAACTGTGAATTAAAAAAAAATAATTGAGCAAGGAAAATCATAAAACTTATAGTTAAGTCCAAATAGTGTTTGATGACTTAAAAAAATAACTGACAATTAAAAAGTCTAGATATTCCAAAGAAATGAGTGGGAAATAAAGAAGGAAATGTGGTGGGTGTTTTATGCTGGCATAGACTGTGCTTATAATTCACTCTGGCTGTTGTTCCAAAAACATGCTTCTGAATAATGGCCTTTTATCTCTTATTCTAAAGACTCCATGGGAACACCATAAGTAAAGTGGTGAATTTACAGCAATTATATTTAGGTCATAATCAAACCAAAACAAAGCCAAAATCTTTACATACATTTTCTGGATACTTCAAATCAAAGGGTATTTTTGGATTTCTCTTACTTTATTTTAATTATCCCCATAGACTTTCCTCAGTTTCCCATATCATTCAACAAAGACAAAGACTTTTTTAAGCGTATTTATAGCAAGATGCTGTGGCTCTGGTTCAAATTTAACTTTACCCTCTGGCCTGCATTGCTTTGCATTTCAGTCTTTACCTACCCACCAACTTAATTTCAAATTATTTTAAATTGAGACTAAACACTATACACATTTTGGGTGTTGTGAATATAATTTATGAGGACCAGCTGGAAAGCCAAAACTTTGATCAGATTGTAAATGTTAGTGGGAATACTTGATCTAAATGATTGATAGCATAATTGGACTCTTCTCATTGATTTTCAACAGAATTACCGCCACTTTTTGATGTTCTGATACTGTCATCTGTCATTTCCAGAAAAGAAGAAAAACGTGTTAAATAGCGTTTACTTTCATTGAATGGGGTGTTCTCTGTGATTTCTGTTATTAATTGTAAAAACACAATTTCTGATCTCCCTATTACATTATTAGTGTCATCAACTAATTATTGATATATTTTTAAAATAATACCTGAAAACAGGGGTTAAAGTTGTGTTTAAATTATGTAGGTTTTAACTGAAGTTCAGACTAGAAGTGGCTATCTATTCTGATCTGAAATATATTTAATTTTTCTCCTGGATCTGACAGGATGGCACTCATTCAAGACAAAGCTATCAGCCATTCTCCAGACAGAGAAGAGAGTTCTATATTTCAAGTAATAGCTCAAGACTTCTAGAAACACCTTTTCTAGTAACTTCTATCATGTCTCTTCCTTTTCTGTCCTAGAAGACACAAAATGAAATAACTCCTCTGAGAATTTTCTCTTGGTAAAATCATTGAGCAGCTAGAAACTATAATGAAGTTGTCTGAAATGTATTGAGAAATCAAGCAATTTGTTTTCAAAAATACCAAAAATATCATAAGAGAAATAAAGTGCCTTTTCCTACTGGATACTTCTCTCATATGGAGTAAAAGATCATTTATTACCAGAAAATCAGCATTGGTGAGGAAGGAGAGGAATGAGTGTCCATGCACGGGGAATGGAAACAGTGATTCTCTCTGATTTGAATGTGGGCCTGTTTTCTAAGCTCCTTTGGCAAGTAATGGCACATTGACTCTAGTAATAATTAGCTTTTTAATTCTGGAAACATCAACTTAGTAAATTACATAAAGCCAATTAATAATCTCTATAGGTTTTCATTTTTAAATTCTTTTTGTGTTATTTTATATATTTTTTAAATTTTTTATTTATTTGACAGAGAGAGAAAGAGAGAGAGAGTGGCAGAGGGAGAAGGAGAAGCAGACTCCCCGCTGGGCAGGGAGCCCGATGCGGGGCTGGATCCCAGGACCCTGGGATCATGACCTGAGCCAAAGGCAGACGCTTAACTGACTGAACCACCCAGGCGTCCCTTCTTTTTGTGTTATTTTAAATATGTTTTTATGCTTAATGCCTGGATATTTTATGTTTCCTTTACAAGAGACTACTCTTCTGTAAATGTGCCTTTGCCTGTAATTTATGATGGCGACAATGTGGGAAATTTCACTGGAATTATAATGTTCCCAAGTATAGTTTTAGAACTCTGCCCTATGCAACCAAACATTTAGATGTTACTACATTCTAATTTACTAATGCTATATTAAAACTCAGCTGAATAAAAACATACTAAATTGTGTCAGGTTTTGTCATGAGATTTGTCATATGCCTGTTAGGAAATGACTTAGAAAAGTGATTGATCCACTTACCCTCTCTTTTCACAGACAACTGTTTCTCAACCTTGAGGTTTAATCTGGAGATCAAGGATTGCCAATGTTCTGGATTTCAGATAGGATGGACACTGAAAGGAAGAGCAGGACTTCTGTGAATACCCAGCCATCCTGCAAGTGCCGCCTCTGCCTTCAAAACAGATTCTGAAGGGAGAGTCATGGGTCCATTTTGGCCGAGGCCAGCACAGGGAACATGAGAGAGACAATCCTTCTTACTCCTTCCACCCCTGCCTTGTCCCTGTGTCCACACATGTTTCTGGTGACAACTTGCTGCTCGTGACAGCTGCCCACACTTGGACGTTGAAGACTGAAGCTGAAGGATTCCACGGGGCTTTCCGGAATAATCCTACTAGCCTTTATGTCCTACAAGAAACTGGGCTTTCCAGAATAATCCTACTAGCCTTTATGTCCTACAAGAAATTCCCTTTCAATAAAACGATCTCTTGCTGAAGACCGAGATATTATATTGTATTATATTGGGAAAAGCACTGGATTAGGAGTCAAAATCCTAGGTATTAGTCTCAAACCTTTAATTGCTAATCTAATCCCTGAGCTACTTTTTAAGTGGAGACTGGAAACAGAAATTTTGAATGCTGTGCGTGTCATTTGTGAGTACTGGAAGGAGAGAGCCCAAACTACCCCCATCCTCCAGTTTTTAGAATATTAATGAAAAAGGCTAACATTAAATGATTTATTCGACACTATTTGGTCTGCTCTCATAGGCCTAATTACCTCATCAATTCCTCTCCCCAGCCTTGCTTGCTCTGGTGCTTTAGCCCTTTGTGACAGGGCAGACTGTTCCTGCTCCTGGGTCTGGGGAACTCAACCACAGCGCCAGAGGGAACTGCTGTTTTCATTCATGTCATGTATTACAATTTAAAGGATTGTAAAATGCAGAAAGCTAAATTCTTGTTCTATTATAATTAAGAGAAAAAATAAAACCTAATGGAAACATTTTGATGATTGTTGTTTGATGTCACTGTGCTAATATTGTATCTCTCTAATGCTGGCTGTTATTATACCCCCCCCCCAAAATTAGGAAATAGTTGTTGTTACTTATTAGGTAAAGAACTCGAGATCACAAATGTGACATTATTTTAGATCATCATATTTTGACTCTTGTATCTCCCCTTTAAGCCCTTGGATGGCATCCCATCTCTGCATATCCCAACGACAGTCTGAGGACTGATGATAATGAAACATCACAGAAGATTGTAAAAACACCGGAGAATATTCTTCTGTGATAGTAAAGGGCAAAAAATGAAAAACTGTTTTTTTGTAAAATAAGAATCAATAAACATAAGGGGCAGGTAGAAATGAAACTACATTTTTTCTAGGTTTGGGTGATAAGAATGTAATAATCAGTGAGACTTCTATTCCTTTCTCTTTTTTTTTAAATATAGAATGCTTTATGAACTTACATTCATCCTTGCACAGAGGTCATGCTAATCTTCTTTGTATTATTCTAATTTTAGTATATGTGCTGCCGAGGCGGGTACAGTGGGACCTTTATTTCAACTGAGTGCCTGGCAGAGAATGAGCTATCAACAAATGCATTTTTAATGGATAAAAATGGTTGATATACTTACTTTTCTTAAGTATATTCTCATCAACCTTATAAGATGTGAGTTAGCAAATTTCCCTCTCAATTTTATTTTTATTTTTGCTCGCAAGATGTTATACGTAAACTGATCCTTTAAGAAAAATGAAATCTGAATCACTAGATAAATAATGGAGAGAGAAGACCTGAGTCCATTTCCAACCTCTGAGTGACGGAGCTGTTAGGAGAGGGGAGGGTGAGGGGCTCAAAGGCAGATGTCTACCTTCTTCTTCCCTTTACCTCCTCTCTTTCCTCCTCTCTCCCGGGTGACTAGCCTAAAAATGGAGGAAATTTCTGTGTGTAAAAAGATGTTAATCATTTTTGGATCAACGTATCTGTAAAACTGCGATCCGAGCAGATCTAAGCTTTCCTAAATTAGTCCACCTGACAACCATTAAATGTTGGCCACAAACTTGCAGTCAAGTGAGAAATGGAGGCTGGTGGAAACAATTCAAGTGAAGGTAAGTCAAGGGCTTTTGTCCTAGTAGACAGACAGAGTGGGGGGGGGGGGTGAGTAGATTTGAAGGACCCCTTGTCTAGGGCTGTGGAAACGGGGAAGACATTCATGCTTAGGGGGAATTTCTCTTGGCATCTGGCCGTGGTTATTTTGGGTCCAATCACGCTAGACTTTTCAATCAGAGGGAGTAACTTCCCTGTAGAATTGAGTATCTGTAAAGCAATCACAGCTACTTGTCTGGCGCATATACACTAGAAGAAGACAGGCCAATCTCCCTCAAGAATCTAACAAAGGCTTCTGTCACCTTTCTTCCTTCACAGTTTGACTTTGCAGGTTTCTACCTGTCTGCACGTATAATAATGCCGAGGAAAATAGCTCAAGTTCTTAAAAAATGAACAAAATGGTTTGAATGCAATGCTAACTTTATTTGAATATTTATTCTCACCAAATAGCTCCCTTTGGTGATCTTTCTTCCAAGTAAAATAGTTGACAACAAAGAAAATCTTCCAGTTCCAACATGCTTACCTGTTCACTTTTGTCTTAGAGCCTGTGGTTTGCCCTGACGCAATGAACAAACATAGGGTTTCAAAGAATAAGAGATATTCTTGGGAAAAGACAGGTATGAAAACTGCTATTTATTTTAAAAGGGCAGGTTGAGGTTATGTATCTTTTGTGTTTGGGAGAGGCACATCAAACCAATATGCGGAAGAAACATTATTCTCTAGAATTATTATTTCACAAAGCAAATGAAAACATCATCATTTCAAAGATTGCAATTTTGGTAATTAAAAGTTATTTACCTAAGTAATGAGTTTTTCTTAAAAGAAAGAAAGAGAGAAAGAGAGCGAGAAAGAAAGAAAGAAAGAAAGAAAGAAAGAAAGAAAGAAAGAAAAAGAAAAAGAAAGAAAGAAACCTGATAATAACATCCATATTTTTGGCTCATTTACATGTTTAATGTGAAGAATTACCATCTATTTAACTCTAGTGGGACTCCGGTACTATAGAGACCTTTACATTGCTGATTTTCTCTGCTTTATTTCCTCTTAAAGTATTTATCAGGAGACACACTGGCTTGTTAATTAATCTCCCTCTTTCTCCTTTATCCTTAGAGTGGGATTCTTAAAGGAAGGTCATGTACTGTCTGCACTTGAATAATCTCCACACTGTATTACAAAGCAGATTCCTGGGCCTTAGTTTTGATCTCCTGAATCAGACTTTCTGGGTTTGAGGCCCAGTATTTCATATTTTTAATAAACTCACCAGGTGATGCACACTAGAATTTCAGAATTCTTTTATAGTGGGGAAAACTTGCCTTCCAGGGAGTGTCAGCTTTAACTTAAAAGTGCGGCATAGGAAGCAAACTCAGAGCTTTCTGGCCAAAGGTATACAATCATGCTTCAGGTAGAGGTCTTGCAAACTTACACACTAAAAATGCATATTTCTAATAGTATTTCAAGGGAATTTATCATGCTTGCAATTTATCAGCAGAATTAATTAACTGGGATATACTTACATTCAGATATATGCTTAACATAGAAATATATACTTTTCCTTATGGGAAGTTTAAAAGCGACCTGACAGTTCTTCATTGCATGAGTGGCCACAAAGACCTGCACTCCTGTAAACGGCCATCACAGGAGACTTTTCTGTGCCACTGCACCATGGAAACACAGGACTCAGCAATGCCGATTCCACGACCGTTAAACACACAGTTACTTATATGTGACATCTAACAGAACTTGACAATAACACTTTAGAAGCTTGATATGGCACCTCTGAACTTTGGTTAATGACTTAATATGTAATCAAGGGTCTTTCAAAACTGTCTACCAAGGCAGGGAATGCAAAGCAGGTCGTACCAAGCGACAAGTATCAGCACTGAGATAGATAGCTGCGCTCACAGTAAGAACTATTATTCTCACCCCAGTTCCATGCTATAATCACTGCAGATCTTTTTTATAATCACTACCTAAGCCTCACCCAGGAACTTCCTATTTAATTAAACTGTGGTGGAAGAACAAGGAGAACTGGAAAGCAACATCTTCAGTCCTGGAAAGCTGAAGAGAATGGGAAGGGAGCCACGATCAGAATAGAGATTTTAACATTTTCCTGGAAACAGAAGGATGACTGGTGTTTGTCGATGTGGAAGAGAGCAAGCTGAAGCCTGACACGGAGGGGAAAGTGATCGGTAAGGAAACCCATTAGCTCTGCACAGCCCTAGAGACGTGTGGCTCTTAGAATCACAGGGACAATGGACAGTAGGAGTGAAATAGGGGGCATGGGATGGAGGATTCATTGAAGTATGAAATAGAGACTACCTGGCCACTGCCTTCCCTTCCCCCAAACACAGCACTCCTGGCCGCCAGACAGATGCTCTTTGAACAAACTAACAAATAAGAAAAGGAAAAGGATCTTTTCTCCTGATATAGAACGAGCGGCCTAAGAAGAACCAGGCCAACGGGGAAGAGCATTGGAGCAAGTGACTAGTGTGAGAGCTGGCTCTCTGACCGCTCACCCTACAGTGCCACTCACTGCCTAACAGACAAGCCCCGCTACCCTCACAAAGCTCACACACTGACACTTCGGTGGACTGTGCTTAAGCCCAAATGAGAAACAAGGGGCACCAAACCTGAGAAAACTATAACAACAACACAAAGAGAAAACCCAAAATTAACAACAGAGAAAAGTGATCCTGCCGAATTCAGAAAAAAATCTTTCTAAGTAATGTTACAAAGATCAGAGAAGATTCTGTATCCATAAAACAAAAACAACATGTAACGGAAAAGAAAAATTAGAGAACAAAAAGAGCTCTAGATACTTACAAAAATATGTTTTCTGAAATTAAAAAAACAAAAGGAAAAAATTGCAAGAATTGAAAGAGACTGTTGAGAAGTAAATCTCCTAGAATAAAAATTTAAAAGTTAAAAAGAGAAAAAAAATGAGAGAGAAGTTGTAAGACATATATAATAATTCAGAAGTTCAACATCCTATTCATAGGAATTTTAAAAGTGGACCAGGGAAGACAGAGGAGAGGAAATGAAAGAGAGAGAGAGAGTTTTCTTAGAATGGAAGACAAAAGTCTTCAGACTAAAAAAGCCCAGTGTGTCTCCAGTGCATGAACTATTAGCGCCCACTCTAATTGTATTTTCATAGCATTTCAGAATGCTGCGGAGAAAGATTATCCTAGTAAGTTCCAAGGAGAAGAAACAGACATCCACAAAATTACAAGTATAGTTTGGCACTGGCCATCCAATCAACAATGCTGAATGCTAGAGGGTAATGGATCAATGCCTTCAAAGCTTTGAGTGGAAATTCTTTATAACTTAGAATCCTAAAAGCAGTCAAAACAACTGTCCAAAGGAGGACACATTTTTAAAAACTTCAAAAATGTAAATTCTCTGAAAGGTACTTTTTATCACAATTTCTTAGGATATATTTGAGGATACATTATAGTACAGTAAAACAATAAATTAAGGAGGAAAATGTGAAATCTAGGAAACAGATGATCCAGTCCAGGACAGAACATGGGCAGTGATCCATCCTAGAGAGAAATCAGAACAACTTGGTGGAGGATACTGAAAGGCTTGGGAAAAAGTATCAAAGAAAAAAGGAGATTTAATACTACCTTCGAGATATTAAAAGATTTTAAGAGATAGAAAAGGCAATGTAAGAAAAAAAGAAAAGCAATTAGAAAACCAGATAAGAAACTGAGTGTAATCATAATATACTACTTGACACTACAATGGATACTATTTGCATTGTAATTAGAATATGGTTAATGACTTTCAATTTCAAGAGACAACCTAAAGAGATTGTATTAGTCAACTTTTAAGAAGACAGACCCTAAGGTTCTTACTGGCTATATGAATCCAGAAATTACTCAATTTCCTTTCTGTAGGATAGAAGTAAGTTATCTATTTTGTCTTTTTGTGAGGCTTAAGTTACTTAACACAAAGTGCCTATAATAGTGCTTGACACATAGTAAGTCCTCACTAGGAGTTAGTTAAAACAACAAACAACATACAAAAACTAGAAGCATCTATTGACACAGAACAAAAATGAAATCTGACAAAATAAATGTTTAAGGGGCACCTGGGTGGCTCAGTTGGTTAAGCGACTGCCTTCGGCTCAGGTCATGATCCCAGGGTCCTGGGATCGAGTCCTGCATCGGGCTCCCGGCTCAGCGGGGAGCCTGCTTCTCCCTCTGACCCTCTCCTCTCTCATGCTGTTTCTCTCTCGCTCGCTCTCCAATAAATAAATAAATAAAATCTTTAAAAAAATAAATGTTTAAGTACAGACAGCCGAGGGGCTGAATGGGAGGAAGAATAATGAAGTGGAATCATGAGGTACCGTTTATAGTTGATAGAAACAAAAATAAATAACAAAGACAATTAAGACAAAAAACAAAACTTAGCAAGATAATTGTGTAAGTGGGTTAAGTC